AAACGACTCTCGGAATCAGTCTGCGGAGCAGAGCGTGGCAGAGCGTTGCCATCAGGACAGCCGTATCATCGACGCCCGGCTGGATTGGCAAAGGGACCGTGTGTCGCGCGCCGAGGGGGGTTCGGGGTGCAGTGCAGCGACGAGACTGTCTCTGAAGCGTCCGTCGCTTACGTCTCCTGTCGCGCTCAGGGGCGTCCCGCAGGGGTGCGAGAGGGACAGAGTCATCGCGGAGGCCGGTATCGGCTTGCAGTGCGGTGCGGACCACGCGATGCACAACACGCAACAAGACAGCGCGAATGGGGTGCGCAAGGCGTGGCGGGGGGGGCGGGAAGAGGGGGGGGGGGGGGGCAGCCGCTGTGCACACTGAGCGGGCCCCTCAAGCCACAGCACACAAAAGGGAATGAGAGATCTGCCCGCCCCCGCCCGCCTCCAGATCACAGAAAGTAGTGCCTGTTTGTCTAGCAGGGCCCCCTGGGTCGTCTCTCATTGGCCTCGGCCGGCCAGGCGAGGTCCACCACACTGGCCGCGCGGTACGGACGGACCGCGCTGTCAATATATACCGGCCCCGGCCAGCCGCCCGTCGGGGAGCGCCACTTGCCTTTGTCTTGAAGGCCCGCCCGGCCCGCCGTGGCCGTCTCTGTCTCATCCGCGCCGTGAGAGCGACAAGGACGGAAGGAACTTCTGCAGCAGTTTTCGATCAAGGCCCCCGCGCACAGTGGGCCGGAAGACCGGCGGAGCGGCCAAAACTCTAGAGACGCGTTTTGAGCTGCAGAGTCGCTAAAAGGGACTCGAACCGAACGTGTGACCTCGTTCTGAGAGCAATCCATTGGTGGGGTCACGCGTTCGGTTCAAGTCCCATTTAGCGACTCTTGAGCTCAAAACGCGTCTAGAGTTTTGTCCGCCTCCACCGGTCTTCTGGCCCACTGTGCCGCGGCTTGCTTCACTTGATTTGGTGCGATGACGTGACTCGCTCAGGACCGTTTTCTTTTCTTTTGAGATCGACGAAATTATCTTAGAGATCAACGAAACTTTCCATGAGATCAAAGAAATTTTCTTTCCGGTTAGTACGAAGATTTTCTTTGGGATCAACCAAATTTTCTTTCCGATTTTCTTTGAGATCAACCAAATTTTCTCGGACAGGGATCCTTAACTTACCTCATAAGGGCATCATAACGTTTTGATAAGAGTTAAAGTTATTACCCTTAACTTCTAACATCTTTTCAAAAGGGTAGGTTATTTTTTTATGTCTCGAATTTGTGCGGATATACTTTTGCAAGTACTTTCATAAGTCCGTACCCTTAACCTTTAGCGAACATTGTCTTATGTTACGTTATGAAAGCAGTGTTAGTTAAATGTTAAGTTAAGTTAAGGATCCCTGTCTCGGAGATCATCAAATTTTCTTTGATATCAGGGAATTTTTCGGGGGGAACCGACGAGATTTTCTTTGAGATAAACGAAATTTCCTTTGAGATCATCAAAGTTTTCTCTGGTGGCGCACAAATCCAGCCTGTATCTTGAACTGCCACGCAAACCACGGCGACCAGTGGCAAAACAAGAGAAGAAATCCGAAGAAATCTCATTCCGATTGACTTGTTTCGCGGTGGAGCGGCATTCGATCGTGGCCAGGTCCGTGTTTTCTCACGATTACCTGTCATTCGGAGACAAAGTCATTACTCTTTGAGGGTCGCCGTGGCAGCAGTGACGTTTTCCGGATAAGTCAGTGCAAGCGCCGATCCGAAGGGGTGGCAGGGCAACACACGCCCCACAGTGGGCCAGAAATAACCGGTGGAGGCGGCCAAAATTCTAGACGCGTTTTAAGCTCCAGAGTCGCTAAATGGGGCTCGAACCGACCGTGTGACCCCACCAATGCATTGCTCTCCGGACGAGGAATCCATTGGTGGGGTCACACGTTCGGTTCGAGTCCTGTTTGACGACTCTGGAGCTCAAAACGCGTCTAGAATTTTGGCCGCCTCCGCCGGTTTCTGGCCCACTGTGCGCCCTTCCCCCCTCTTTTCCTCTCCTTCGCCAAGCCCCGTCCTTGCCCTGGCCAGCGACCCGATAGAGCCGTATTCACCTTTATTCGATGTACCTCCGCGCAATGCATGTGACGTCTTGTCTCTTAGAGTGTCAGCCGTGAACTGCGTCACGTTCTTGAATATCATGTCACATGTCATCCCTTTGTAATGCAAATAAAATCTTTCGCTAGTGCGAACGAACCGCAACTAAATAATTGGCAAAGCTTTGCAAAGTTGTTGGTCATCTGCACAGTGCTGCTGTCCAATCCTTGTTCCATGTGGCAAGATAGGCTAGACACGCCCAGTGCAGCCGCCTTATCTTGGAGGATAATCTACCTGGTTGTGGCCCACTTTACCCAGAGGATCGGGTACCTCTCGCTAGTAACCTGTAACACAGCGTACTCTCTCTCTCTCTCTCTCTCTCTCTCTCTCTCTCTCTCTCTCTCTCTCTCTCTCACACACACACACACACACACACACAATACACCACTCCCTAACTCTGGCGTTCATTCCGATAGACAGAGCGACTGTGACGCTGTGATGTCGTGCTGGTCTAATTGAGAGTTTCAGGTTAAATAGATGCGAAAAGGGAGCTGCGTTGCTCTTATTCACAGTAAATTACGGTGCTTGAAATCCTTGCTTGCCTGCAGTGCCTGCCCAGCCTCCCACGAGCTGTTTGGGTTCAGCTTTGTCTAACTTACATTTTTACCTAAAATAATTTTTTTTTGCCAAAAAAACCCTGGCAAGTCTTAATTCCCTGTGAGTTTGCTGGGAAAGGCTAACTCGCTAGCTCCTCCAGGTCAGCAGGCAAGCAGTTGAGTTTTTCTCCTCCGAGTCTGGCTGGTTCAAAGTGAGGTTAGGCTGTCCGAGTCGCTAGCGCGCCTACAGCATTACAAAGGCAGATCAGATGGGTCAACGCTTTGGGAATGGGTTTCCCGCCCTCCGAGAATTCTTTGTCTAAATTTAGGTCGCTCTGTTGTTGACTTTTCAGACAAAAGAGTCGCTGACAAATTTAGATGACAGGGAGCTTCGCCAAAGTTCTTCTTAAAAGCTTTTATCGTGTGGCGCCGTTTTAAAAGACAAAAGTGTATAGGACTAGCATTAAAAAGAAACGTGTGATCTGGGCCATAGAGACAGATGCTCTTATCACGATCTCAGTAAATTCTATGGTTGAATACAAATTCGTCAGACTCAAGACCAGTCGCAAAAGTTACTCCAAGGGCCAGAATCAGCTCTCTGAGTGAAATGTTGAAATACTGTCGAAACCGCGTTGTTCCTTTTTATGACTCGGTCGCCTCTTAATAAGACGTTTTGCGCGCCACCATGAAAATTTCCAGCAACCTAAAACAAACTCGACTTAAATTAAAGCAAACAGTTGACTTCCAGTGGTCCGCCCGACCTCAACAACTCGGCCCCGCGGTGCCGCGGTGCGCGCCTTCGACTGCCGAGCCGCATTTTCCCGCGAGCTCTTCACTGAAACACCAAACGTGGTCTAGACTGCACCAAACGTGGTCTAGACCGCACCAAACGTGGTCAAACGTGGTCTAGACCACACCAACTGATGTGGTCAAAATGGCACCCATCTGACCACACCAGTGGTAAAAACGGAACCTGGTTTTCCCAGGAAGTCAATGGTGAAGGTATAGGCGATTTCCAGGGTGTTCCTGGGAAAACAAGGAACCGTTCTTACCGTGCGTTTGGTTTTTCAGTGTTCGCTTTCGGCCCAACTTCGCTCTGTCTCTCTCTCACCCCAACGCGCCGAGAGTGCGACGGAGCGGCGAAACGGCTCCTCGGAATCAGTGTGCTGGCTGTATATTAGCTAAGTGCCTGAGCATGTATGCCCCACCACACCGGGGCGGCCGGGGCGTACCCGGAGCGGGGCTGCACTGCTCGCACTGCTCCACGCGCGGTATGGCGCCTGCTTCATTAACATTGGATCGGCGGCAGGGGCGCGCAGGGAGCGAGCGAAGGGGGTGGCTGGGGGAGGGGGAGCGGCGACCCTGATCAAGGCGGGGGAGGCTGGCATACTGTCATCAAGCCAGCAGGGGCGACATGCGCCATGTCTGCTCATCATATCCAACTTGCGCCCAGCGGCTGTGCCCCAGCCCAGCCCGCCGCCCACTCACGCCCACTAACCTTCGGCGGGCTTATTCGCAGTCACCGCCAGTGTACTCGCAGTCACTGCTAGTTTACTATTCGCAGTCACTGCCTGTGAACTCGCCGTCAGTTCACTATTCGCACCGCCAGTGTACTCGTAGTCACCGCCAGTGTACTCGCAGTCACCGCCAGTTCACTATTCGCAGTCGGCCGATCCGGACAGCAGACTGATCCCGAGAGTCGTTTTCGTCGCTCTGCCTCTCCCGTACTCACCGGGCGCCCCGTTTACGTGCGAGAGAGACAGAGCGACGAAAACGACTCTCGGAATCAGTCTGCAGCCTCTGCCGCTCACATGCGCCTTCCATCTCCTCTCGAGTGCAGCATGCTGGGGGAGTGGTGCTCTAAGTGCAGCCCCTGGAGGAGGCGACGGCTGACTGGCAGCCCAGCAGGAGGGAGGCTGACCGGCGAGATCAGCGGGCACACTGGAAGTGGCACTCGGTCGCTAACGCCGACGACGGTTCAAAGGGTGGGTTTCAGTGCAGGATCCGGCGGGTGAACGCTGACGCACTGGTGTGCGTTCAGCGGGTACACGCTGACAACAGTGCGGGAGGGTTGAGCGGGTAGATGCTGCTGACAGGTGGGGGAGTCAGTGGCGGGTAGCGGCGGCTACTGCGGGTTCAGCGGGTCGCTGCTACTGCGGCGGCTAGCTGCTGTCACTACGGGGGTTCTGGCGGCTGATACTGGATGCGGGACCTACGGGCCGCACTAGTCGGCCCGTCGTACGGGGGTCTTGATGCGCACCTGACAGTTCGGGGCGAGGCCGGAGCCCGGCGACGTCAAGGAGGCGCCGACGGCCTGGCCGAGGGCGGATCCAGAACGGAGTCCTACCTGCTGGCGGTCTTGGTTAAGGGACTGGCGCTGGGGGTGCCTGCGCTCCATCAACATGCTCTCCTTGGCGCCCATCGTGTGGCCTTGCAAGTCAACAAGCCGCGGAGCAGAGCAGTCCCAAGCGCCACGCGCCTCGTGGAGCACACCGAGCACACCAAGCTGCAGGGCACACTGAACAACTGGGCGGCGAAGCACAGGAGCGACGCGGCGGACACGGCGACCGAGCGAGGCGCGCTGGGGGCGACAACTGAAGGCCTCGCCGCGCCCCGCCGCGCGCTCCGCCCCGCCTGCACCGCCCCACCCCGCCCACCCCCCTCGCCCGCCCGCCCGCACGCCCCGCCACGCCCCCCTCCCCGCTCCCTCCGACCGGCGTCGAGACGCAGACGCAGTGCGGCGCAGCAAGCATGGCTCGGGGCGTGGCGGGGCGGGGGGGCGGGGGGTGAGGCGGCGCCCTCCGCGGGCCGAAGCGGGCGAAGCGAGGTTGGGCTGAGCTAGGCCCGTCGTGCCGAGCCCTGCGCGCTACCACGCCCTGCCACGCCCTGCCACGCCCTGCCAAGCCCTGCCACGCCCTGCCACGCCCTGCCACACCCTGCCACGCCCTGCCACGCCCTGCCGCGCCCTGCCACGCCCTGCCGCGGAAGTGCGCCGTTCCGTACACAGATAGCGTTGGCGTCGCGCACCGATCGACGGGCCGGGTCCTTCCAAAGGGGCTCCCCCCCCCCCCACTCCCCCCTCCACTCCCCGCGACCCCACCCAGCTCCCTACCCCCTCCGCCCCCGCGCCGCACCCAAAATTTCTCCCCTGGCCTTGCAAGCAGCAGCAGCAGCCCTTGCGCGCCCCCGCCCAGCACCGCCCAGCGCCGCCCAGCGCCCGTGTCCTCACTTGTTAACGCCTCGCCATGTGTGCCCGCACGGTGCCCCGCGCGGACCGGCCCAAAACACGCACATTAAACCCATCAAACTTTTCTCATAATAAAGATGAAAAGGGAGCCGCGCGCGCGTTTTTTGAACACTGACGTTTATTGCCAGATTTAACACTGACAGTTTTGACGTTATTTCACTTCCCCCTTGGTCTTGTTTGCGCGCATAACCTTTTCGGGCGGGGAATTAGTCTCTCTCTCTCTCTCTCTCTCTCTCTCTCTCTCTCTCTCTCTCTCTCTCTCTCTCTCTCTCTCTCTCTCTCTCTCTCTCTCTCTCCCCTCTCTCTCTCTCTCTCCCTCTCTGCATCTCTGCATCTCTCCTCGCCTGATTATAATCAAGGCTACAACAGAGATTGTGCATTCATTCCGGCTCATCGTGCATGCACCTCATTTTAGAGTGGTCCAAACCGACCAAAAGTCCGACGTTTCTTAAACACTCTAAACGTCTTGCAAAGAAATGGCTCAAGTATTTTCCGAACGTCACTTTGTCTTCGTACTAAGAATGTTCATCTTCGCAGTTTTTAATAACAACACAAAAATAAATCACAACATGAAGAGAAATTGCGCCCAATGCACTGCAATTTCCAATTCCATTTCAAGAAATTGATAGTAAAGACCACCACAACACAGTGGGCCAGAAGGCCAGTGGAGGTGGCCAAAATTCCAGACGCGTTTTGAGCTCCAGAGTCGCTAAATGGGACTCGAACCGAACGTGTGACTCCAATGGATTGCTCTCCGAATGAGGAATCCATTGGTGGGGTCACACGCACGGTGCGAGTCCCGCTTAGCGACTCTGGAGCTCAAAACGCGTCTTGAGTTTGGGCCGCCTGCGCCGGTCTTCTGGCCCACTGTGGCCGCCCTCCCCGCTTTCTTTCTCCGCTTTTCCGCTTTCCGCCAGGCTCCGGCCAAGCCTCCATGCACCTACTCCGAGACGCTGCGCGCGCTGCGCTCTGGCTCGGATCGTGGATCCCGGCCCCTCCTCGCCGACCGCTCGGACCTGCCCCTCGCCCTCGCCGCACCTCTGCTGAGCATGCCACCGCCTGCCACCCCCTGGGCCGCCACCCAGCACTAAACCAGGCCGACGCTCCACCCTCGCCCCGCCGCCCCCGCCGCCCCCGCCGCCCCCGCCGCCCCCGCCGCGCCAGTACAATCCTCGATACCCTCCCTGCGCGGACTGCACCGGGGACAGGTCATGCACACATCAGACTGATTCCGAGAGTCGTTTTCGTCGCTCTGTCTCTCTCGCACTCAAGGGGCGTCCCGTACAAGTGCGAGAGGGACAGAGCGACGAAAACGACTCTCGGAATCAGTCTGCAGGGGAAGCGAGGATGAGCACGTGGGAGACAGCGTGAGCCGCATTCGATATCTCGAACCGCGACACCGGAAGAGGGCTGGCCGGCGATGCACCGCGACGCCGGCATGTGGCGGTGGCGACGCGTGGGGCTTCCGACTGACACAATTAAAGCGCCGTGCCGTGGCGAGTCGCTCTGGCCGCGCCGCGCCACCCGTCACTTCAGATCAATTTAAATTGGCGCCCGAGGGTAGGCAACCCAATCGGCACTGTCAGCGCCGCCACGCGGCGTGACGACGACGCCCGTCGCCTCCACCGGCAGACTGATTCCGAGGATCGTTTCCGTCGCTTTGTCCCTCTCGCACCTGCACGGGACGCCCGGTGAGTGCGAGAGAGACAGAGCGACGAGAACGACTTTCGGAATCAGTCTGCGGAGATCACCGCGGCCTTGGGGACGGGGGCGGGGAGTGTCCCGGCCGCTGCCGCCGATACTCCGCGCGCGGAGTCTGTCCATAAGGCCGGCATTGGGGGTCTCCGGCGCGTGGGGTAGTGCCACTGCCCTCGTTGTGGTCCTGGAGACGGCGCGAGTACACTGCAAGTCCAAGTGCGAGGCAGCAGTCCAATATCTGTGGGCGTGGGACATTTTGGTCCTTTTATGCCTATCATGCTACGTCTCTGTAGTTCAATGCCATAGACACCTCTCTCTCTCTCTCTCTTCCTCTCTCTTCCTCTCTCTCTCTCTCTCTCTCTCTCTCTCTCTCTCCTCTCTCTCTCCCTCTCTCTCTCTCCCCCTCTCTCCCCTCTCCCTCTCTCCCTCTCTCCCCCCCTCTCTCCTCTCTCTCTCTCTCTCTCTCTCTCTCTCTCTCTCTCTCTCTCGCACCTATTGAAGCCGCCGCATGAGTGCGAGAGAGACCGACGCCACGAGTGCACTGTTCGGTCTGGAGTCAGCTGGAACAGGGAATGGCGGCGGACTCTGCGCCAGTGGCTCGGCCAGTGGTCCTGAACTCTGAAACCTCTACGTCAGCGCGCCACTGCCATGCCACTGCTGTGGCCGCGTCCGGGCTGGGTCGCTGCCGCAGGGAGTACTTTACATTAATATTTACCCCGCATTTCGCGTTGATATACTTTCCACTCCGAGCTGTTGATTCCCAGAAATAGATAAACAAATGTTTAACATTATAACGTTGTTATTATTTGGTGTGTTTACAGTGTGCTTTGTACTGAAATGGGAAAAAATTACTTTCATGTTCTAAGAACAGCCACGGCTTCCTTGCCGATACCCCCTGCGCGCGGAGTGTCCTTAAGGATAGCACAGGAGTCCCTCGGCCGCGGGGTAGCGGCAATCAATCATTGGACTCCAGCAACAGTGAACCTTCAGCCGGACGTTCGAAATGTTATTTGAGTGACCATCTGATAGGACAACGTATCTTCACGGTAGATATGCTGTTATAGACGAATGTCACACATTTAACGAGTGACGTCATGTATCATTGGAATGTCAGTTTTGTCACGCTCGTTTGAATATGATGTCCCATTCGTTTGAATTTTGGTCCACGTTCCAACGAATGTGACAAAATTCAGATTCGATTCGTTGAATAACAGCGACACTGCAAAGCCAGCGGTAAGTCTGCTTGCCACAAATTTGGCAAGCTTTGACTTGAATTCTTCATGAAGCTTAAGCTTGGGACTATTTCCGGATCAATTTTTGGCATTCAGAATGGCTTGCCAATTTTGTGGCAATTACCACTGGTTTTGCAGTGGACAGCCGGTCGTTTGCAAGACTTTGAACATGTCGTGAGCCCGATGCGTTTCTCTTAATGGACCTTGGGCACCGGCACGTTTGAAGTTTAAGTCAGTTGTCCAATCTTTGAAAGTATTTCGTCTCTGTTTCTTTCGCACCCCTATGGGGTGGTCCATACACTGTAAAAAATCCGTACTTTTGTACGGAAATGGCACAGAAAAATATGGTACGGAGAAAAGTACGGTACGGTCCGTACTTGCTCCATGTGAACCCATGTAAATGGGTACGGGAAAAAAGTACGGAACGTTCCGTAGTTGGCAAGTACGGACGTTTCAGGCAAATTATTGACCAGACATCACTGTTATACAACGAATGTGACATCACATTCGTTCGAATGTGAATTTTGTCACGTTCGTTTGAATACGATGTCACATTCGTTTGAACGTGACACGGTCATCATGCGGCCGTCTGATGCGGGTGTCACATTCGTTTAAGCGTGGATCAACATTCAAACGAATGTGACATCATATTGAAACGAATGTGACAAAATTCACATTCTAACGAATGTGACGTCACATTCGTTGAATAACAGTGATGTTCCGTACTTTTTCCGTCCGTACTTTTTTCTCACAGTGTAGGTGTGAGAGGGCCAGTCGAATCACTCACCACGCGTGTTCCAGACTGCGCCGTCGCCAGACACTCGCAGAAGGCCGTCGAGATGGACACGTCGCCGTCGTCGCCGGTGTCGCCGTGTCGGTGTGTGGGTGCGCGGTTCACGGACTGGCCGTGACGGCGCTAGCGTCGTCGCGACGCAACAACACTGCAAGAACGGTTCCGCGACGTGGGCTGCCTGGAAAGGAGCGAAAAGATGAAGGCAAGGTCCCGCGCGGAAAACGGGGTCGGGGAGAAGTTTTGGTGACACGGGGAGAGGAAAAATCGCGGATAAAAGATAGGAATCGGAGTGGTGGTGGAGTGGGGGAGCGGGGAAGGGAGAGGGGGGGGGGGGTTTGCCCAGGCCGTCTGTCTGCCACCCACTCCGCCCTTGGCGTTTTGGTGTGTCCTACATATGTATGTATACATCATAATACTCCATAAATAATAAATGTAAAGCGAAGTATATACTAATACATGCAGGTGGCGATAGCGTCATGTTTCATGACTGGAATATTAGGTCGTACGTGGTCCGGAAGGGAGAGGGGGGAAGGGGGAAGCTGGTCTTGAGCTGCGTTTTGATGTGTTGCCGCACATTCGAGTATACACTGGTAGAACTCAAGCGTACTTTTA